ACTTTAGCCGCTTGGTCACGTTGCACTCGCATCCTGGCAGCAACAATGCTGGGCGACCCTGGCTCGGCTGGGCGGCAGTGGTTGAGTGTTTAGTAAGTGGTTTAGTAAACACATTTAGTTATTTGCCAAGCGGCGACCCGGCAAACGGAACGGCCGCAAAAGGACGAAGGGGCAACCTAACTAAAGCAAGGCCTCCTGCACGCAACGAAGGACATCGAGTGGAGCACTTAATGACACTTAGTGATACTCAATTATCACTGCGGCTCCTTGCTCAATTACTTGATGAGGCCTCCTCCTTTTCCGGGTGCCGAATCCTCGACCCTTTCTAATCCACCGCCCCAATGCAAAAATTGTTATCTAAAAGTTTGCCGAAACTTCCTCTCTATTCTCCGACTGCTGCAGTTTTCGACCAACTTTTATTAGCTTTCCCGCTAATTGCTTCTAATTTAATTAAATTTAAAACTTTTGCGCGCTTTTAGTTGGAAAATATTGTGCATGCGGATTTTTTCGTGGGGGGCATTCGGGGAATCAGTTGGTTGCTCCACGTCGAGCTGGGAAATGAGTTTTTGCGTGTGTGTCGCATAATAGTTTAGCTATAAATTTTATGCGTCTGCTTGCATTTTGCAGTAAAATATTTTATAATTAAATATTTGTTTAATTAGTGCGAGTGGCCGCCGCTGCAGAGCAGTTCGTTTTGGGGTTTTTCGTGAAGGGGCTGGGGGATTATGGCTGCGGTTCCCGAAAACTGTCCATTTAATAAGTGGCCAGCATTACATTATTTCCCCTCTGTCCAACGGGGTTAGTTAGACAAATTTAATTTCGGTTGAGGGCTGATAACTTCCTGCGTTGGCTGCCATGAATACTAAATTTAATTTGAGCAAATAAAATGGCAGTTCTCGAGGAGCTAAGCTGAATTAATTGAATCAAAAAAAGCTTTTAGTTTATTTTGTCTCAAGATATTTGTCCTCTGGGTTTTGTCAATTTTACAAGGTACATTTCCAGGGAACATAAAGAAGAAATCATTTTCACTTTGTCTTGTTAAGACGAATTAAAGAAATTGCAAATAAATGCAAATTGAAAAAGACAGAAAATTGTTTGTGGCCAATATTGTTTTCCAGAAAGGAAAATTAAGTCAATGAGAATCTGTACATCTGTACATATTGCATATGCAAAATATTCCTTATTTTTTTTCCTTTCCTGCTTAAAGAGCTTGTAAAAAAAATGCTTTCCTTAGTTAAGTTAATAAAATGATTGTTGAAGATTTATAAAAAATGAGATTTATAAGAACGATTAACAACGACTTCAACCTCCTAAAATGTAAATATTAAAATTTAACTTTTAAACATTTTTCCGAACAATGTATGTCTTAATTTGGGAAACTCCGCAGCAAGCTCATTAATATTCTGAAGTGGTGAGTATTTTTCAATAAACATATATTGTAATTTATGTGCGAAGCTCATTTAACCAACCTCGAGTGCCGCTTACATTATTTTGGCCAATTTGTAACTGTCGATAATTTAACGGGAATCAGCTTCTTAGCCGAGCTGCCAGGAGATGAGCCTGGGTTTCTGGGGTAATTAATAAGCGTAAACCCCGCCGCCAACGCATCAGCTTTCGGCCATTTGTCAGCTATTGTCTGATCCTGGTAATATATCAGCCCGGAGATGTGGAAAACCCGCTAGAAACCATTTTGAAGGCAAAACAAATGGTTGAAAAACAAAACGGCGCTCCAATAAGTAAAATTAATGAGCCAAAATGTAATTTTATAAATTGTAAAAAGCTTCCGGCGCATCCTGTCTATCCTGGCTAAAATGCGAAATGAAAAAGAGCATTCGGCGAAAGTGAGGAATTATGGAAGCCATTTCGGTTGAAGGATAAATGGAGGGAAGATCAAGGGGAAAGCAAGGGTGAAAGTGGATTTACTTTCGTCTACGTGACACGAGTCCTTGTCCCCTTTTGCGGTTGTTGCCGGCGACGACGACGATGATGATGAGTCCCGTCCAGCCAGGACCTTCTCCCCGTATCCCTTCCATCCTTTTCATCCGCCTCCAAGCAGGAGACACGCAACGCGTGGAACGTCTGCGAGCAGATTAACGTTCACGTACTGAAAAGTGGGGAAAAGAGGGAAGAGGGGAAAGGGTGATGGGGGTATCTACCCCATCCAGGATTCCCGTGGGTCCTGGCCACGTCCTTGCTGTCAGTGGCAGCAGGAGCAGAAGCAGAAGCAGCTCGAACATGGCCGCCATGATTTTCGAAATTAATTCAACTTGATTTTGCTTTCTTCCTTTTTGTTTTGCTCCCTCACTTCGTTGGTCCTTCTGTTTGCACGGGGGTTTGCGATATTTTTTGGAGGGTTTGGCGTTTTGGGGGTGGCGGAGTGAATGTGAATGTGAACGTGAATGGTTGGGTGCTCGGGCACCGCAGACAAGAAATTAAAATTCATTTCAAAGGCCAAGCGGGGAGAAAGGTTTCCACGAATATCCAAGGCGCAAGCCTAAAAGTATGCAAAGGACCATGGAGATAACCAACCCTCGTAAGGGAAACAACCCTTCTTCGGGGAGGTTTTACCTCCTTTTTTTTTGTTTTGTTTTATGCCTTTCCATTTTCCACAATGGCTGCCATGTTTCCTTTTCCTTTTGTTGCAAGCCAAAAAGTTTTCTATTGTTTTTCAGCTGTCATGATGAACTTTTGCCTTTGTTGTCGCATACTTTTGGCAACAAATTTCCGTAACCCCATAACCCTCTTCACCCTTCACCCCTTAACCCCCTTAACCCGTTAACCCCCTCACCCCCTCCCCCCACTGAGTGCACATATTTTATTCTGCTCGACTTAATGCGGGGCGAGTGTCATTGCTTTGTTCTTGTTGCGTGTCTGCCAGCTGTCGTCTTTATGGCACAGATCCATTAATATTCCTTCCTTGCTAAAGCTAAATGTGTGCCTCAGGTGCAGGTGCAGTCCGCCTTTGTTCCCCATTTTTTTTTTCGCTTTTCAGCCATTGTTTGAGACACTGCCATAGGAACCTTCTGCCTTCGCCTGACAGCTCCGCTACCTGCGAGAAGTGAGCCGTAAGCTCCTCAATTGCCAAGTCCACTCGACTGAGGAAATCTGTAACAAATCATGGTCTCTGCCTTGGCCTAAAGGCATGCCAAGCCCGACGTCTCGCACTCTGATTGTTACACAGAGAAAAATAGGGTGAGAATCATGTGTAGTTCGGGATTTAGAAAGGAAAAAAGAAAGAATTGTACATGAAGATAATTTTAAAAGTTATCCTTCTCCATTTAATGTGCAAAGTTTTCTAGATTATATTTTATAATCAATAAATGATGGTCCAAACATTTGATGCCTTTGATTTATGCATTCGCTCTTTTATCAGTTAAGTATGCGAATTCTTTATAGAGAAAGTATTAAACATAATTTCAATTTCAAATGTACAATAAGGAAAACCTCAGCAAAAAGTATCCTTTTAATAGAAATCATAATAAAACCATTTTGTATTTTTTGGAAATCAATTTCTTTTGGTGTAGGCTGTTCGGAATATGCAAAAATTGTTGTGCCGTTTCATTTTATTTGCATGTCTCCCCATTTTATGTGCACAAGTTTTTAACCCTGGCGGGTCATAAAATTAAAACCAACGAACGACGACGACTCTTAGGGTGCGACTGGTGGTCCTGGTTTCGTTCCTGTTCCTGTTTCTGTTCCTGCTTCTGATCCTGATTCTGTTTCTGTTCCTGCCAGATTGCCTTTGAAAGCAGACCCACCTTGCCCCGGCCGCAGGGCTTCTTGTGCTTCACCTGGCCAGCCAACCAACTCCTTCCACCTTCTGCCACCTCCTTCCACCTCCCCCCACTGGGATCCCACCTTCCACGGCCGCCTCTGCAGCAGATCCTGAATGCAAGCCTAACGACCTGGCATTGTCGTTGATAAGGTCCAAAAATGCTTGTCTACCGATTTTTTTAAGCCGGCTCTTTGGTGAATATGGTTGGAAATGGTTAATGTTTATGCAAAGGGAAGCTAGCAACCTGAGGATGGGAAGGACATGCTCACTTGGATTCAACCAGGCGAAAGTGCTTGGAATCCGGTTAAGTCCAAAGTGCAGAAATTTAGGGTCTGACTGATTTTTAAGTAAATATTCGGCTGAGCTTTAAGATAATCCTTATAAATTAGTCAGCTTTGCTTTTAACCTTTTTTCAGCTTACAAAATTTTTTTTATAATTTTTTAGCTCAAAGGAATTTTAAAAAAGAAATCTAAATTATTGCTTTCAGTTTTTTCTGCCTCTATGAAATACACGTTATACACCACAAAAATATCATTTAATCTGTACTTGAATTATTTAGTTATATATAAAATTTAAAAACAAATGCAACTTTTTTTTATAAAATTAAACCCATCTCAATAAACCTTATTATTATAAAAAATATATTTATTTTACCTAACAAACTGGTGACAAAGAAATAAGAAATCATCAAAACCGCTTCGATTTTTGAGGGAAACAGAAACTTGGAACAGTTCCTTCGCGTTCCTCAAAGAGTTGCCCTCCCTTAAGTCATATCCTAATTTGCATATTCAAGTTGGACGAGTGGCACAGGCCGAAAGCTCAGGACAAAGCTTTCTGATTTGAAATTTTAGAAAGCGTTCTACAACCCCTTTTGATGAGACCACTTTTGCCTGATAATGCAGGCACTCGACTATAGATGGCGCCTCTAATTTTTCTGGCATGTTTAGATGGCTCACATAATTATGATAATGATTATGATATAGAGTATAACCAACCTTTCTCGAAGATATTCCATCAAACGATCCTTTTAGGCGTCTTTTCCAGCTCCTCCACATGAATGTTAAAACAGCGTAATTATTAAAAAGCGTAAATCAAAATTCGCAATAAACTCAAAGCATTTTATTCAAAATACGATTATAATAACAATAAGCACAACCATATGATATATCAACTAAAAGCCAAACTACAAACAAACACAGAATTACAACTATAAATACTAAAGCGTTTCTTATCAACTAGTTCGGTTAGTGGGCCTCTAGTTAAGCTTGGCTAAATGCAATTTTCTGTCCGGATCCTTGGGGCAATCTGCAAAGATAAGAAGGGAAGGAGAAACGTTGAACAAGTTGAACATTTGTGTTTCTGGAGACAAAAAAGCCACAGGAGACGACCCGGAATGGACATCTCCGCTTTCCTTTCAGAGTACCCCTCCCCAACTCTAGAGTTTACAACAAATTAAACTTGCTTGTGGGCACTAAAGCAACTGCAACTGCAATGGAAAACGGCAACAACATTCGCAACATGGCAAAGTTTTCACTTCAGCGAAAAGTTTTAATAGAAAATTTTAGTTAATAGTTTTTAACTTTGCCGCTGCGGTGGATTTGATAAGGGACCTCCACCCAGCGCACACAACACATGTAGAACTTTTTAGGAAACGACCGCAGCAACAAAGGAGGTGGCCTACCCACCCCCCGATGGTTTTGGGGCAGGATAATGGGGGTGGATAACCAAACCCCCCATTGCCTCTTACCTCCCTCCCCCCTTTTTGGATCTGCTGGCCAGCGTCTGTCTAATTAATTAAATTCGCTGCTGTGAGGACATCGCCTCGTCCAGCAAATTCAGTCTAAGCAGCAAGATAAGCAAAAAGGTTCCGATTTCTTGGGGTAGATAAGGCTGCGTGATATTCAAGATAAATTTAGCAAGAACAAGGGTTTATATTATAATATAAGGTAACCAAATCTATTATATTTTATTACCTTATTTTCTCATTTCTTTTAAATAAAATCTCCTTTAATAGGTAACACCTAGGCGAACCCCTTTGTTTTAGCTGCCCGCTTGCTAATTTCCTGTTTGCTGATAAATAATGCGCCACACTCACATAAGGCAGGACATAGAAAGGAGTTGGCGCTGTCCATCCCCGCGTTATGTAACTTTAGAGCACCTAAAATATTAAAACACCCCCTCAAATCCCCAATCCCCGTCGGATGGGTTGATGGAGGAAGGGGAGTGGGGGAGGGGGATATCCTGAGTGACTGGAGGAGCGGCGGTCCTGCAGATAAGGCGTAGCTGGAGCCCGTTGGCTTAGCCAGGATGCGCAGGACACGTTGGCAAAGAGCTTAAAATGTGGCCCTAAAATAACTTTGACTGACCTCCCACCCCACACACACACACACACACACACACCCCACACAACAGTACACCCACATAAACCCTCACGTCCTCTTGCTGCTAGGATTTAGTATGCCACGCCCACTCCCCAATAAGCCATTCCTCCCACATTTTAACTGCTTGGGGCATACATCAAAACTTTGGCTTACGCTTAGGATTTATTTATTTTCATATTTACCAAGGACCAACACCGACGCACACGCGCCGCAAATGAGAGGTGGAGCAGGGAGAGGGGAGGGGAGAGGAGGGGGGGGACTTTGGAGGGGCAGACAAGGATCTCAAGGATTTGCACCTTGTGCGGGGCTTTTTATGGCGGCAATAACACAGCAAGAACATTTCAGATATTCAAACGTAAGTAATAATCCGTCTTGTGCCCCTAAAGTAACTATAGTAACTATAACAAATTGAAAAATAATATAATATCTTAAGCTTTTACCATCCAAAATCATAGTAATTGTTTCTTTTGATAATACAGTATTTAAAACCGGACCACTTTGAAAATATAAATCGTTTAGTAAAAATAGAAAATAATATGTGTTTCATAAGATGGTAAATAAAGAATTCTAAGATCAAGGGGAATACCCCAAAATACTACTCCGCTTACTCTTACTGTTAGCGATCATCGGTATTGGCTTTTTTCTCAGTGCACCTACATCTAATTCATTTTTGGCCGCCTGGCGCCACTGGCCGTAAAAAGGAAGCTGAACCAAGGGGGCGTGTGGGCGTGGCAGGTGGCCTTTTTGTGTGTTTTAATGACTACGTGACCAGCTCCCAGGCGGCGTGTCCAGCGCTGCTTGGAGCGGCTTACGTGGCGTATGCGCGTTATCAGCAGGACGACATCTTCCCGGGAAAGGACTGCCTCAGATTTTATGTATTCGAAGCTATTAAGAAATGACATTAAAAAGCGACCAGTGCCCCCGGGCAAACCGAAAACTCTTCCCACACTTCCCACTCAATCCCTCCGCTCGTTGCGTATTTAAATGCGACATTTGCATATTTATTAGAAAGGGGTTTTTGTTTTTTGGCGGAGTTTTTTTGTTCTGGAATCTCTTGGACAGAGCGTGGGTGGAAATTATTAAAATAAGACAGCGCTACGTAATTATTTTGCACCCCACTCACGGCTAGAAACTCAACGTTTATGGAAGGCAAACAAAAGTTAATTTAGACGCTGCTTACATTTTACAAGCAATTTACCCGGCGCACAACTCCAAAAGTCCCCTGCTTTTTTTCCCCCATCCTTGGAGGCCATTGATGTCGCCTTTTGCCTCAACTCATCCCTCCAAATTTTTCGGTTGGCTTTGTGCCGTCGACTACGAGGACTTTTCATCCTTTTCACAAACAAATTTGCACTTCCACGCATTCATTAATTTGCTTATTAAGAGCCGAAAGGCAGGAATGGGCGCCTGAATGTACAGTGTTTCGTTTTTCTACATGGTCCTGCCAGGAATATTCATCCCGATCTGTCCATTAAGCTCTTGTCCAAATTTAAGCGAAGTGGAGCCAAGCCAACTGAAAACTGAGAACTTATGCCAAGAGCCATAATAAATGCATATGACAGCCTTTCCTTTTGCTGACAAGAAGAACTTTCCCCCTGGATCCCTTCCCACTTTCGGACAAGTCGCACTATATATAATTTTATAGTCGCAACTGCTGTACTTGCGGTAGTTGCAGTTGCACATGTCAAGGCGGAAAAAATGGGAGGTTCTGGAAGTTACTTTCGCACAGAAATTCTCCATCTATTAGCAATTATTCGTTAAGATAAGTAAGATAATTTATTAGATCTCTTAAAAAATGAATATTAACATAATTGGTAAATTGAAGCGCACAAACACTTGAATTCATGAAATGCGGTATTTGTCTTATTTCAATTTAGTTAATTTAATTCGTCTTTCCAGTTTCAAGATATCGTTATGAATTTATCTGCTATGCAAATGATTAAAAACTGTTTATTAAGAAAAGACTAGAATGATCTAACTTATGTTTAAAGCATGATTACATCAGTTTATTGATTTTTTGAAAAAATAATAATTAAAATAAGTTAGGACGCTTTTAATTTGCTTGATTTGAAGCAGAAATAAAAACTCAGAATGTGTTTTACTTATATGCATGTATCAGTAAGTAAATGGAAGCCACCGTGGGGCAGTTAAAACTAAAGCGGCAGGGAAACTTACGCAGAGTTAGAGGGCTGATGGAGATGCCTCGTGAAAGCGGGGGAAAGCGGAGTGAGGAAAGTGGAATAGGGGGAGGAAGAACAAGGCCAGTCGCAGGCATGCAGCAATTACAAAGCCAAGGGTTGTGGCTGAAAATAGAAGGAAAGATGGTGGGAAAAGCGGGGCAGTGGAAATCGGGGGTGGACACGTAGAAACTTGCAAATATAAAATTGCACAATTTAAAACGCAGACAAAAGACGGAGTGGGCGGGTCGAGAAGGGGGCGAGAAAGGGGCGTGGCGGGGCACGTAGGAAGCTATGCTACGTGCAAGGAACAAGCGGCAAAATGTCCTTGTGTGTCCGTGTGTAACGGTGTCCTGTGCGCCATTTACATTTCACATTTCTAGTTTTCAGTTCAGTTGAGTCATTATTTTATTGCCAAGATACGAGCGGGGACTCTGCGTCGACTTCAGGCCACTCAAACCACCCGAAAGCTGAAAACCCCTTTCGTTTGCCATTGCAGGACGAGAAGGACCAAGGACCAGAAGGACTAGAAGGACGAAAGGGCTGAAGTGGCAGAAGGAGCGTCTAGCACCAACAACACTTTTGCTTTTGCATTATTGCGAATGGAGTGGGTTGAAATGGGTTGGGAGTTGCAACCACGGACGTTGTCTCGTCTCTTCTGTGGGTGGCTCCTTTCGTTTTCGTCCTTTTTCGACATTGCTCCTTGCGCGCAAACGTATCTACGTGTATGTGTATGTCTCTGTGTGTGTTATTAGATTGTTTCAGCTAAAATGTTATTAGAAAATTTTGAATTCAAATTCAAATGACTTCATACTTCCTGCCCATTTTCAATGGCATTTCGTCCTTTCTGCAAAGGACGTGCACTTCCTTTGTGCACTTGCATTTGTCTGCGTGTGCGTCCCTGGGTGCAAACGTAAGTGTGTGTGAGTGCGAGTGTGCGTGTGTGTCTGTGGCTCTGTCTCTTGCATAATAACATGGATCCTGTGGATGCCTTCTCGTCCATTAAACGTAAAATGTTTGGAGTGCAATTTGAAGTTCGTTGCGGCACGTTGGCGCACTTTTTGAGATGAGTTGAGGGAAGGGGAGAGGGATGTGGCCAAAGAACGGGAGGATTATCCAAAAGGGTTGTTTTCTAGACCATGTAAGGCAGTTTACTGCTTTAAAGTCGTTAAGGAAATGCAGGGGATGCCAAGTTAAAAACTAATGTCCAAGAAAACAATCTTCAAATGATAATTTCATTCTTGAAAAATATATTTCCAAGGAGAAAACTTATCTATTAAATATTCTGGAATCTCTAGTATACCGAAGTGTAACATTTTGTAGTATTTGTATACATATGTGTTTTCTTGGGGTTAAATCAAAATTAATTGGGGTCCAACCTTTTCTATTAAATTCTCTTGTATTAAGAACCTTTATAAGTGAACGCAACCTCAGTTCTAAATTCGCTCTCCTGATTGGTTATCCCATTATAATTACAAATCTAAAACCAATTTCACTGGCACAATGCCGGTGGAGAGGAAATTCTTACATGGCAAACGGCACCTCGTTTCCAATCTTGGGGCAATCAATTATTTAATTTCACCGCTTCATATGTGTGGAGGAGGTCTGCACATAAGTATGTGAGTCTCCACCTTCCCCTCTGACCACTGACCCTCGATGCACTGGATGCCAGTTGGCAAAGGGGGAACCACCATCCTGCAGCCTCAGATTTGTTTGAAGGGGAAAAGCAGGGGGAAGGAACTGGGAGGGAAATTTCAAATATTCCTTGCTACGTTTGCGGCAAAGAAAAGTTTCAATAAAATCCAAGCACACAGGCGGGCTTAGAGCAACCCTTTACCCCTTTTTCTGGCCATGGCCAGTACACAACACCCACAGTAACCGCAGTCGTAACATGGTCAAGGGAAATGAGGGGGGTTTTAAGGGTAGAAGGTGGGATTGTGGAGGGGGAGGAGGAGGGGGATGGTCAACCTGCAGCGTTTGCAAACTATCTGAACCGAGTTGGGGGCTCTGTTGAGGAACTGCGGTAAAGTTGCTAACGTAATCATACAAACCTTGCTCTGGTCAGATGACCATTGTGGCACAGAGCTTCTTTCTCTGTCCTTTTGTCCTTGTGGCCCGTCTCTTTCTGGCCGGGCAGACAAAAGACGACTTTGTCCAACTGGACCGGACCATAAGATGGCCAGCGTGGGCCATCGGTCGGTACAGGAGGGTACTTTTATATTCAAATAAAATGAAATTACATTGTTTTCAGCTGGCAAACAATTTGAATAGAATTTTAACTTTTTACTATTATTTTATTTCAATGCACACAAAGGCAGGAGGCCAGTAAGGACATTCAAGGACCACAAGATGTGGTTCGGTGTGAGGATAACGCCAGCTGCTTCTCCTTCTCCCTCTGCCTCTTCCTCTCTTCCTCAATCTCTTTCTATCCTTTTCTCTATTCCCAGGATCAGACTTTTGGCAAATGGCCGTTCGCTTTGGATATTTCTTAATTAGAAAGATTTTGGCAAAGGGTTGTTCGGCACTTCTGCACTTCTTCCCTTTCCCTTCTCGCTTTTCTTAAACATCATTAATTTCCAGTGGAAATTTACATTGCCCCTGGGCAGTCTGTTGCCCCCCAAATTCGAGTATAACTTCTAATTCGTCGACCCTTTTTGACGGTTTTAAGGGTTTCGAATTGGGTTCCAGCTGGATACGTGACATCGCTGTCCTTTCGGCGTAATTTATCGTTTGGGGATTTGCGAATTTTTAGTTTTATGAAATTGTTCCGCTCAATTAAGTTTGGAAATTACGGGTCTGGCGTTTAAAGCTTTAAATTTGCGAGTTAGAAACCAGAGAGAACCATCAGCTGCCCCCTTTGTAATCCATGCCAATCCATCTGCCAGGAAAATGGGCGGTCTGCTGGCTGGCCAACGGTCCCGAATGCATTTTCCCCAAACGAAATTTCCAGGCTTTGAAATTGCAAAATGCAGAAATTTTTGCCATCCTATTTTCAGATGGCGTTGGCTAAAAAATTTGCATTTTTGCCCGAGCGAGCTGGCCCAAATGAATGCACATGCACGCACATAGATGCACTCTGAAAAAACACAACACACTCACACAGACACACACATACTAACACACAGACAAGAAAGGATCTGGGGACTCGGGGGGATCGACGGGGGGCAGATGTGAATATGCACGCCCAGCTCTTTGCCTTTGTTGCATTTTTGCCTAGATTGCAATTTTTTGCAGCCCAATTGAAACTGCAAAAAGCCCGGAACCCCGATCCCGAAACCAGACGTAGCACTACAAATATTGTACATCAAACGTGAGAGTCCTGCATCCATGGTTGTGTTTTAGAGTGGACCGCTTGAGAGAATTTTAGAAAGCCTAAATTGGATGTTTGTTTTGTTCACTAGATCAATTATGTTGGTAATTAATTTCTTATTTTATTTTAATGAGAAATAACATGATCCCTTTGCTTCAATCACTTCTTTCCATAAGAAATATCCCTACAAAAACAAGTCTATAATTCTAAGTTTAAGGTTGAGTAGTAGCTTTGATTTCACCAAAAAATATATTATTTTTTTTCTATATAACATACACAAAAAACAGGATATGAAAGATATAATTTGGAATCTTTATCCTTGTAAAAATCAGGGTATTAAAAATGGCTTAGCTTAATCTACAACCAAGGTCCACCCTAGCTCTCCTGTGTGGGTTTTCGTGTTAGTCCTGAGTCCTGTTCTCCATCAGCAGGACGAGCCAATGCCAATGCATTTGTCGAGCCCGAGCCCGAGTCCGAGCAGACAGATCCGGAGTCAGAGCAGCCGGAGTCGGAGCCTAAAATGCAGTTTTTGGCATGCAACATGGGTGAAAGGGGCTGAACGGGTGGAGGGGGGTGGAAAAGGGGGTGGAGGGAAAACTGCAGAAGGAGTTGTTGAAAAAATTTTGAAATTGCATTTCAGATGAATAGATGGGTGACAAGGTGGGTCGTCGGGGGTGCAAAGGGGAGCACAGAGGTGCTCCAGAGGGGCGGTTCCATTCTGGTAGGTTCGCTTTGGTCGAGGCACCCCAAAAACCCCCGAAAAACCCCCGAAAAAGGACTATTGAACAACGGATGCTGTGACGATAGATGGCCCCACTGTCCGCTGGTTGTGTGAGTGACACGCATGGCTGGCGGAGCATTGCGGGGATGTCCCTCTTCGGAGTCCTCGGAATCCCCTGCTCTTTATCCAGGCGGCCATTTTGATGCAAATGCATCTCGGAGTCATGTTTGTTGCTTTCGCAACCGAAGGAGGTGGGCTCTGCCCCCCCAAAAAAAAAAAAAAAAAAAACCGAGACAAAATGGCATGCAAATGTCTTTGCTCAGATTTCTCCTAAAAGAATTGTTGGTGGTCGTCTGCCGGGTGACATCCAATTGAGCAGTGGGCTTAAGTCGGGGCTTATTTGTATTTCTTGGTTGCATTTTCGTTTTGAGTATGCTGCAGTTTGGCTACACAAATCTGGCTGATTGCAAAGGTAGGAAAATGTTTATTCGGGCAACAATAAATCCAAGTGAAGCTCCTTTGATTTCAGATTTTGTTGTCCCAAGAACAAAAGCATCTACACATTCTCGAAAGCTTTTGAAAACTGTAAAATAATTTATGTTAGCCATTTTAAATAAGAAATGTTGCAACCAAAGGCAATATTTAAATCTTTAAATAAATCAACTTTACAGTTAAGGATTTTATTTATCCTTAACGATAAAACCTGTGAAACTGCAGCATTTCCTGTTTGTTTTTCTTCTGTTTAATTTTGTATTTTTTGGCCGGTTTATTTCGATTGCGCCGCTCAATTGTTTTGTCATTGTGGCGTTTTCACCATTTCCGCGATCCGCGCTCTGTTTTCCCTTTCTGTTTTCACTTCCTTCTCGCTGGCTGTTTGTTTTGAGTGAAAAGTGACCGGGGTATTGGATCCCAGTACCCGTACATCCGCACATCTACATCCAAACATCCAAACATCCACATCGGCATCCATCCATTTCTATTAGTTATTTGTTTTCCCAACGTTTTTGTAATTATTTGCCCGCCCGCCGCATGCTAAATTGCCTGAGTAAATATTTGACAATTTTGCATTTGGCCAAAGCGAACCGTCAGACCAAATGCACTGCCTAATGACACTGAATTTCGGCTGGGAGGAGTTGATTTCGACGTGTTTGCCTTGGCGTTAGTTCGATTAACCGCACCCAGGAGCCCACTCTTTGGATTTGGCCAGCGTTTAAGGCAGGTCAATCAATGACAATCGATATTTTGGTAACTGAGTTGCAGGAGGCAGTGCCATTCACTCCAGCTTGTGGGCGCTCCAAAACTATTTCAATTTGCATTCCAATTAAAACCGTAAACTTACCCAGCGACGTCGGCGGCTCCGTAATATCTGCAAACAAAGGAGAAATATTCCATTAAAATAATTGAATAAGTTGCAGCTGCCACACGAGAAGAGTGATAAAATATGGCTTAAGTAAATCCCCACAGAGAGATGGAAAGGGGAAAAGGGGTGGGGAAAAGTTTTGCCATAGCTAAAATCATATTCATAACTTTTGTTTTGTTGCAGTTTTGATTGAGTGAGCATAATGGAAAATTTGCCATGCGAGTTCCTGCCATTTTCGCCACCCCCATTTCCACCCATCCAAGCTGTCTCCGCGGAGAGTGCATTCAGTCAGATTAGGTATAACCCAACCCCCTTCCCCCTTCCCCCACCGGAAAAAAAGAAGAAGAAAACTCTATGGTTGTGCCCCCCATCGAGCAATTGCCTTCACTAGAATCCATGCGGCTGGCAAAAAGCATTCGGCGATTTTTTCAAATTTCTTTTTCTTCTTCTGCCCGCCGTCAACTACATCAAAATGCATTTTGGCCAAAAACGGTTCCGCGACGAGACTTCCCTTTCCTTTCGCCGAAAAACCAATCCCAAAACAAAGCATCGAGCAGCACTCGGCAAAAATTGCAAATTTACAATGGGCCCGGGCATGGGAAATGGCCTGGTCGGGAGTCCATGGATTCGTACATTTCATCTGCTGCCCATTCCTGGCCATTTTAGTCGAGTCGAGTCCCTTTCCGCATAATTTGTATGCGCGAGCCGCATAACTGTCCCCCATTCCAAGGACTTGCTCCCCCTTCGGAACCTAATACACAGGAAAAACAGTTGATACGATATGTATTTTCTAAAGAAAAGGGAAAGAAAACCATTTGAGAAATCTCCAGTGATTTGAAATAAATTAATCAATCAATCAATTAATCAAAGGATTTAATATGAATTAGAAATAAACATTCAAGAGTAAGATAAATGCAATAAAGATATTTAGACGTAAGAGATTCAACAAACAAGTTTTGAAGAATAAGGCAATAAGGAATAACTTACGATTTCTATAATTCTGGATTTAGCCAACAGAGAGTTTTTGATTATTATTTCCATCAAAGAATGTAAAATGTTTTGGAAGGAGAAATGCAAATGATTGTGACAAAAATAGAATAAAATCGTTTTCTTATTAAAAGTGTTGGAAATCTATTAAAGGAACAAAATCCCAGTTAATACCAGAAAAGTAAAGTGTAGTAAAAAGGCGAATAAATGGTTTTTTCTCAGTGGATGCCTTGGTTTCTGACCATGTTCTTGATTGCAACACCCCGAGAATCAGTGCAGTGGCCAGGCAGTGGCAACTTTGCTGGCAAAGTTCCGGTCGAATTACAATGAAGAAAAATTGCACTGCCTGGCGGCGGAGAAAAGCAGATAGACACGAAAAGTGAAGGAGCGAAGGACGAAGGACGAAGGAAGTGGGAAGCAGGAATGGGCCAAGTCTCAAATCCCTCAAGGCAGACGTCTGAGTGGGCACTTTTTGCATATTACGCAGTAGACATCGTCACGTTAGCTGCCCCGGCGAAATGTTCATCAAATCAACGTTGCAGCAGCTGCGTCTCGCAGTTCCCTGCCCCCCTTGCCCCCTTAGCCCTTCCCCCCCCTCCCCCCACTTTCCTCCTTTGGGCCCAGTTTTGTTGCAACGTTTTATGCATTTTTTCAGCGTCTCCATTGGCAACGTCTGTTGTTTCAGCTCCAAGACAAATGCCACAGTATTAAGGCCTGTGCCACGCCTCCTCCCTGGCCGCCCACTTCCCCGCCAGACGCTGCAAAAAAATGGCCAAGCTTAACAATCCGCGTTTCTGGATTTTCCATTTTTCCACATTTCCCAAACCCCTTCCCTCTGGCTACCACCCATTACCTCCAACCAGTAAAGTCGCGTACGTGCCGAAGTCGCCTTGTCCTGGTGTCCAGAACTAGCCCACAGCCGGCAAATGCAGCTTTCCTTTTGCATACGGCACAAGGCCCAGAACCCCCTACCCCCAAGCACCCCATCAACCAAAACCCCCAGTGTAATAAATACAAAATGCAGAAATGCCCATCTTCAAGGCGCCCACTTGCCCATTTACCCCACGCATTTTTTGCACTATGTGAATTGCATCGCCAACCCTTGCAACCAGCTCCAAATGGCACACTGTGAAAAAATTGTATTCAGATTACTGCTAACTATCAACATTTCCTAGGCAAAATATAAGGAATAAAAATTCTTTTTTATTAAGAGAAGTGAAGTAAGAGATACGTCTTTGTATGTGTTAAAAAAAGGATATCATTGAACAACAAATATTCTAAAATTTGTGTTGTTTTTAAATCATGTTATGATTATACTATTTAACTGAATAAATAGAGGCTGAAAAAATACTGACTTCATATATATTTATATATGATATCCTTAAGGTAAAAAAAGTTTACCCACTACAATGGTTTTTTATAAACGTATTGCAAATGAGCATCGCTAATTTTAGTTCCCTTTAAAAAAGAATTGCTTACTATATCAAAGTTATGAATTCTTCTTAGGTTTGAAGATTTTATAATCAAGTATTCTTTCCATTTTATCAAGAAAAATGCAACTGCGTTGATCTTTGCTCACTGTGCACCCATTGGCACCCCGAAACCTGCTCATCTGGGGCAGCTGAGGCGTCTCGACGACGAGTCCGTTGATTTGGCATCGCTGCAGCACCGTGGCCATATCCCGTGTCCAATCCAATTCCACCGGCCGGGCCTAACAATGTGCATCCGGCGGGGAGGGGAAGAGGGGGTCCTTGGACTCGTCCTGCCACCACTGATTCGCCGTTGTCCTCCGCATTTGGTTTGCTTTGTTTGGGTTTGGGTACGCCGACTTTTTCGGGAATGAGTCGCAGCGGCGTTTGGCTTGTTTTGTGCCATTTTTACTGCAGCCTTTGGCTTGCATTTTTTCTTGCTGCCTTCACTTGAACTGAACTGAAGTAGAGATGCCACCAGAAAACCCCACCACCCATTGTCCCTTCGCTCCATCCGCCCCGTCCGGCGGTGCAGCAGTTTTTGATTTCACTTTTTTCGACCATCACCCCATCTCCCCTTTGCCTTCCTTCGACTGAGCTGCACTGAGCTTCGATTCCGCCTCTTTTGAGGGGGCGTGGTACTTGTCCCGCCCCTTTGGCGTCATGCAACACTTTCGTGGACGTTGCATACTTTTTTGCGATGCCGTTCTGCAGCAGTAGGCAAATAGCAACATTTTTTGCTCGAGCCTTTCTATTTTTCAGCTGCAGAGTATTTCGCATTATTGTGTACCAGGGGGGAATACAGTGAGTTACAAAAGACTGCAGCACTTGGGATCTTTCAAAATTTAAGAAAAGTTTTGAAAACTTAAGGGACAAGTTTCGGAAAGTCTGGAGTTTCCCTGTTCCATTAAGTTAAGTCAATAAATTTTATAAAAAGTTAATGTGCCGATGGATTTTGATTACCGCTCTTTAGGTTTTTAAATGAAATTAAATTATTTCTTTAGTTTTAATTCGACTGACAGATTTGCTGTGATTTTATTTTTTAGAAAAGGTATTAAAATTATTTAACCTGATTATACAATTTTCAAAGTTGCATTTATAATAATTAAAGTGTCTAATAATAATAATAATTTCATGATTATTTTTCTTCTGAAACTTCTAACGTTTCCCCCTTTATTTTGTAGTTGTTTGATAATTAAGCAATGCAATTATTTCCTTATTTTCTTGCAATTTATTTCCTTAATGCTGCAAAACTCAGTTTAGTTGCGATCTGGTGGGGGCATGCTGCGATGTTATGAAAGTCCGACTTTCAGTTGACCCCCGTGGGGATCCCGTTCTGCAGGAGAGCATTCCTGGTGCACTTGCAGGCTTAGTCCAGTCGAACAGGTCCTGATTTTAGTCCCACTACGGGGGCTCACAGGCAGCAAAAGCAAAACACATTGCTGATTGCATTTGCTTTGTCTGCCCCATGCCGCTGCAAGTTCCCCTTCTCCTTCTTCCCCATGTTCCTGCTCCCCTTCTGATTTCCACCCTGCGGCTCTGTGTGGCAAACTTTGGGGCCCAACTGCAGTGCCAAAAAGCAAACTTGTTGTTTACGTTTTGTCCCATTCCCGATGCTCGAACTCTACATTCCCATCTCCATCTACATACCCATCCCCATCCCCATCCCCATTCCTATCCCCAATCCCAGGCAGCTCCACATTTTGCCGCCTGCTAGGCTCATGTGCAGTCTTATGATGCTGACAGTTGTCGCCATTGCTGCTGGTCCGCAGGATCCTCCCCAGCAACCAGCAACCATCTCCCTGCTCCCTGCTCCCTGCTCCTTCTGCAGCCATTCTGGGTTGCCATTTTGAAATGCAGTGCATTCGAGGGTGGAGCGATCCCCCCAAAAAGTTGGGGACGAATCAAGGGGGACGGGGTGGTGCCAGGACATTTCATTTCTGAAGAATTGCTTTGTCGGCCCGGCAACGTCGTCGTCGCTCCCCATCCAAAACAACAACAACAACAGCAACAACAGCAACCTGAGCAACAACAACAAGAAGAAAGGGGAGCAAAAGGATGAGCAGCTGGAGTGCGAGGATGTGGGCGTGGGTCCAGGAGCAGTGCATTTGCCTCTGGCCAGGGGCGGATCCAACGCAAAAAGGAGTGCCACACGTTGCACAAATGAAATTTTGCATTTTCAATTTTTTGAAATAGGCTTTTTCCTATGCTCCAGACAGAGATAGCAGGATACCCCGTCCCCCTTCTCGCATCCAGTGTTCCCATCTGTTTGCAAGAAAAAAGGAGGGGAGAGGAGGGGGTATGAAAAAGGATACCCCATGGTGACCATGGGGGCCACACGGCAAAAACCTTCGACTTGTCTCGTTTCGCTTTTGTTGGGCACGGAATTTTATTCCTCGGCATTTGATTTTGTCGCTTTTCGCTGGCCTACACATCCTGCTCCTTGCCCATCCTGCAAACTGCATTTTTTCCTTGCCAACTGCACTCGTCCAATGCATTTTCTCTGCGGCTTCCTTTTCTTTATTTTCCAGATGGACTGAAAAGTGGAGA